AGAGAGAGAGAGAGAGAGACAAAAAGGGTATATTACAGTCTGTTTAAGTGTAACAGTTTGTGCATAAAAGAAATGTGTTGTATGCTTGGAACTGACAAAACTTAAATTCGAACAATCAAATACAGTCGATCCTGTCCAAGACGACCAGCGGTTGCCGATCAAGATAAGTGGTCCTCGTCGACAGGTCCAACATGATAAGTGAGGCTGCCTTGTGATATCATGCGCTCGTCAAAACAAAGAAATCAAAGAAAACGTCATTTTCTGGACGTTAGGGTTTGTTTTGGGGTTTTTTCAGTTCCTTTAATGTTTGGCTCAACACCTTTTAAGTCCTTTTAAAAGTGCATTCCTGAGTAGATGTTACCGAAAAATGTTCATTAAAGGCACGAAAAATGTAAATTTCCAGTTGCCAAGAATTCTCAAGCTTTGGAAGGCACCAAACTTCGGCGGCCATTTTCTCGCTTGGTTTACCTCTCATACCAAGCGACCCCACCACCTTCAATTGCAAATGTCTGGACTTCAACTTCAGTTCAAGATAGAGGTGTATGTTTTTCGACAAATGCAAGAAAAATAAACAAGTTTTAAAATGGTATTAATACTTCTATATGCCCAAAAATCAATGATCGCCTGATTCCACCGCGTCGTGACACATGTACAGATAAAAACACAAGGCCCAAGTAGATTGTGGTTGTTTGTGTAAGGGATTGTTTTGGACAGGTGGACATTTCAGCAGGTTCCATAGTATGATAATAATGATAATAACTTACTTACTTACTTACTACCCATTACGCCATCTGGCGTTTAGGGCAGCAACAAAGGATCTCCAGCTCTGTCTGTTTTGGGCCATCTTGGTCAGCGTTCCCCACGAATGATTCCAGGACTAATGATAATAACATATAGATTATATCGACGAAGCGTCCACTGTGTAATAATAATATGTTTTGTAGTGAGTTTTTTAATGTTTTTCATGGGTTTTTTTTTCTTTTTTGGGGGGTGTAACTGTTTTACGCGCTCGCAACTGCATAACGTCATATGAGCGCTCAGGACACACCAAAGATTTTCAGTTCGTATGAAATTTTGAATTTTGCCCGGGTGGCGGGCGAAGCCTACTCTTAACTATTTTAGACCATCAAGGGATCTTTAACGTGCGCAACTTGTACATTGAACCTCCGAGATTTTTCGCCCTTGTCCGAGAAAGCCAGGTGTAGATATTTCCTATCATAAGATAAGGGGTGTTGCTGAAAGACAGCAGTAAAAAGTAGTCAAGAAGCAGTGGAAAAGCTGCAGAAAGAGTCAGGAGCCCAGAGGAAGGGACAAAGGACATGAGGGGTGGGGGCAGAAAGTGGAGACGAAAGCAGACAACAGAATATTATATTGCTAGAGAGCAGAAAAGGAGGGGAAAGGAGACAATTCTAGAGAAGAAAATGTTTTCGTCGCTGCCCGAATTCGAACCCGGACCTTTGAATGAGAAGCGAACACCTTAACCTCTAGGCCACGAGAGCCCTTTAATAACATGTAGATTATATTGTCGACTGTAT